TGGGCGGAGCTGGCGGAGCGGCCTTCCTGCCCCCCTCCTGCCCGGCCAGCTGGAGCCGGGCAGGCTGGCAACCTTCGGAAGTGAGGCGAGGATAGTCAAGGCGCGCTGAGCCTCAGGCGCAGCGGGTGAGTGGGTGGCATCGGTGCGCGCTTGGGGAGCCCTTAGGGTTGGGGGTCACCACAACATGAGGAACTGTATTAAAGGGTCGCAGCATTAGGAAGGTTGAGAACCACTGCTCTACTGGGAAGAGGATATATCCAGCTAGACTCTGGGAAGAACTTACAAGCCCCTGTGGCTGCATCTATATTCTGAGCTGGGCTCAAACTACATCAATAGCATTAGCACTTAGCACTCGCCCTTAGACTTATATATCTCTTCGTAGTGCTTTACAGCCCTCTCTAAGTGATTGTCAGCATATTGCCCCCAACAATCTGGGTCCTCATTTTACTGACTTTACTGACTTCAGAAGGATGGAAGGCTTAGTCAATCTCGAGCAGGTCAGGATTGAACTGCTGGCAGTCGGCAGAGTTAGTCTGCAATACTGCATTCTAATCAATGCGCACCACGGCTCTCGGTCCCTCATTGTGGCTTAATGTGATATGGAAACCCACACGTATTGTGTTTTTAACCAGAAGAGAGATGTTCCCCAATGAGGGCCAGGTTCAAAATTGTGGCATAAAGGAGAGGATGGAGCTAAAATCAGTCAATTCTTGACTGACTACCTTCCCTTCCAAAAAACAAATATTGGTTCCAACTGGCTTGACCTTCATTTCTATACCCAGATCTACGTCTGAAATCCTCCATCTCAGAAATAGGATAGAAACCATGTAGTTTTCGATATTGTTAAAACGGTAAGAAGACAGAGATGGGCTGGCTTTTCAGCCTACTTTCCAGTCAAAAGCAGCCAAGTCAAAAGCAGCCAAGTCAAAAGCAGCCAAGTCTCAATCTGGCTTGAACTCAAGAACCAGGAGCTGGAAGAGTCAACGCCCTGAAGTTGTCCATATGCATTTAGCACCAAGGCTACAGGCTGATCAGAAGCATGAATGATCTGCTTGCAACCATTTCTTTACTAGCTTGACCTGAATTGCATTTCTTATTCTATTTGTGTTTGTGTATACAGATAAAGCAGATGCAAAAGTTACAAAAACCTATTTTGGAGATATGTCACCAAAGAACGCAATCCCTAGGATGAACTCACAGGGGCTGCGGTGAAGATTTGATTAGCATATTCAGTCTGAAGGCAGTTGGACTGAATCTCTGAATCAAATTGACTTTCCGAATTTGCATCAAGCCTCAGAGTCAAATTCAATGACTCGGTGACCTTTTGCGCCTACAAAGAAAAACGTCTGTTCAGAATCATATCAACCTGAAAATGCAATTTGAAAAACTGAATTGGATTGATTCGGGGATTTGAACTGACAATTCGAATCAGGTTTGACTTGATCCCCACACCTTTGCATAAAACCACCAGCAATCTAATTTAACAGATCTCAGTCTTCTTGTTGTAAAGTAATCGATCCCATTAGATGGTGTAGCAGAACTTTTCACCTCCATCTCTCTCTGTTGTAAACGTTGATTTGGGCTTGAATGTGTCTGAGTAGCTGGAGAGCAGCCAGACCTTTTCTGGTGAGAAAGCCTGAGGGCACAACAGATGGCAGAACAACCAATGCATAACAGGCAATTAGATTCAGGTAGTCAAATGAGTTATTTAACTATGTTACATATTACTTTTTAGAATATTTTGAAAAATGTCTAGGAACAATTTGCTAAATCAGATCGTTTCCCTGATTTCAGCAGTGGGATAATCATGGGTTTCAAAATGTAGTTCGACAGTTAAAAAAAAAAAAAGATAAAATGAAGGTTGGAAATTTAAGCAAGAAGGCTAGAATGTCCCTGGAGGGGAAGAATCATTTTACAGGACTCCCTGAGATCAGTGTTTTCTTGATCGGAAAGCAAATTGACTAATTCTCAGTGTGCCAACCTGTACTTTACCTGGGGAACATACGAAAATTAGCAGAATGCCCCGGATGTTAAACAGAAGGGCTGAGGTTTGCTGGAAAAGTTGTTTTAAAAAAAGGTGAAAAATATGGTAGGTCCTATTCCTTCTTGTCTGTCTGTCTGTCTGTCTGTCTGTCTGTCTGTCTGTCTGTCTGTCTGTCTGTCTGTCTGTCTGTCTGTCTGTCTGTCTGTCTGTCTGTCTGTCTGTCTGTCTGTCTGTCTGTCTGTCTGTCTCTCTGTGTAGATGCAGAATTGCCACGTTTCTTAACTAGTGAAGGGATTTTATTGTGCTTATGATTTTAGTATGTTTAAGTTTGACATTAGCATTTATTTTATATATAGTAACCATTTTATATTGATATTTATAGTGTTATCATGTAATCATTGTTTTGTTATTTTGTAATCCATTATTTTGTAGTTAATTGCTTGATCAGATGCTTTATATATATATATATATATATTGGAAAAGTAAGGGCTTCGTGCTTTAGGTATAGGTGATTGCTTATATGAAAAGAGCACATTATAAGGGGAGGGGGGAAAGGAGTTACGGATGGAGCCTGGGTTGCTGTGTATGAGTCATCATCTAGGAATTGTTTTTTTGTGCCATCTTATGCCTGGTACCAAGACCTGATCTTTTTGTTCTGGAAAGGTATAAAAGGTGGAAGACATCTTTTTCTGGTTGTTGCCTTCATCTCTCTACCAGCCACGAAGAGAGATGGGGTCACCCAACTCTTATTTTGATCAAAATAAAAGTTGTTTGCTTGCTGAAACCTCGACTCAGGAGTTTCTTTGGCTCTTTTAAATTCCTGAGTAATGCTGGGGCAATTGTGAGGCTAAGACAGCGGTTCTCAACCTATGGGTCGTGACCCCATTTGGGGTCGATCGACCATTTCACGGGGGTCGCCAAGCAAGGCTGTCCGCCATTTTTCCCCCTTTTCCGGCGGGTGCCTTACCTCCCTTGGGCTGGGCCAGCTGGTGGTCGGCCTGCTCCGTCTCTGCTGCTTGCCAGCTACGCCTCAGCCGGTGCAGGGGCCAGAACCACGCATGCGCAGCGCTCCCGGGCAGGGAAAGTCCTCGACTTATGACCGGTTTAGTCCTCGACTTATGACCGGTTTAGTCCTCGACTTACGACCGGTTGGGGGTCGCGGCATTAAAAAGGTTGAGAACCACTGGGCTAAGAGGAAAACCTTATACTGTCATGGCTTTTTTTCTGCCTAGGAGGAAAAGTGACCTAAAATGAATAGGTCTCACTGCTGACCTAGGGAGCTGTAAAAGGGCCAGGAAGAACATTAGAACTGCTGAACTTGTGAATCGCTTTTGCTCAACCCTCCAAGTCTTCGTCCTGACCTCAGGGCCATCCTCCCCACGGCTTGATGGGCTTGGTAGTCTTCTCCCCAAGCTCCTGCTGCCCCACGCCCATCCATCTCTTCCGCCTTCCCCACCCCCTCCCTGATTCCTACGCACCAAGGGCAGGGCTACCCCTCTGTCAAGATTTGGATTGTGTTTGTAAATCAGGAAAGAGATATTTCAGAGGGAGAGAAGGGGATAACGCCTAACGAGAAGGTTGGACTCCAGCCAAGGAAGATAGAGTTTCAGTTTTTCATTCAGTCGTGAAGCTTCTGCCGTGACCTTGGAGCAGGCTGTCTCTCTTTTCTCATCCTGCTGCCTAACAGGATTTCAGTGTTGCTTTTGTAAAGATAAAAATGAGCCTGGGTTTCGTCGAGAAAGGTGGGCTACAGATGTAAATACTTCGTAATCCATAAATATGCTGTAGTACAGAGGTCCCCAACCTTTTGGGCACCAGGGACCGGTTACGTGGAGAGAGGTTTTTCCATGGACTGGAAGGTGCGTGGTTTTGTGTGCTGCCTGCATCTTGCAGATGGGCCTTTGCCATAATGATCATGATTGCAGCGGAACAATGCGAATTAGGATAGTTTTAGAAAGGTAATGTTTAACCCTGCCTTCCTCTAAATCAGTGGTTCTCAACCTTTTTAATGCCGCGACCCCAACCGGTCGTAAGTCGAGGACTAAACCGGTCGTAAGTCGAGGACTAAACCGGTTGTAAGTCGAGGACTAAACTGGTCGTAAGTCGAGGACTACCCAACCAGTCGTAAGTCGAGGACTTTCCCTGCCCGGGAGCGCCACGCATGCGTGGTTCTGCCCCCTGCGCCGGCCGAGGCGTAGCTGGCAAGCGGCAGAGACGGAGCAGGCCGACCACCAGCTGGCCCAGCCCAAGGGAGGTAAGGCACCCGCCGGAAAAGAGGAAAAAAAATGGCGGACAAAAAAAATGGCGGACAGCCTTGCTTGGCGACCCCCATGAAATGGTCGATCGACCCCAAATGGGGTCCCGACCCACAGGTTGAGAACCACTGCTCTAAATCATGCACACACAAACAGCCACGCATAGACATCTTAAAAATAAGATGATTTGCTAGAGGAGACGGCAGCCTGTGGTTTCTAGATGTTAATGAGAGCACTTGCTTAGTTTGGCTCCTGCTTATACAAGTGCAAGGAGTCCGTGAGGAGCATCAAAGGCGCAGGAACTCAGCCTGTGCCTTTTCTATGCACAGATATTTGAGATCAGCCCCACAGGTTCACGTCCATCTGCCCCCAGAATCATCCCCAAATGGTTTTGCCTTGTCTTTCTAAGACACTTCCTTGCTTTATCTTCTCCACCTTCACTTGGAATGTGACAAGGCAAGGAAGGCTTGTTAATGCTGGACACAGAATCTAGTCATTTATGATGTCAGGCTGATGTGGGATACATTCTTCAGAAAAGCCAGGACACTTGGTCTGGCCTCCTCTCTTTGGATGAGTATGAGGGAGTGCAGACACAGATGCCCTCCCTGGATGGCTGTGATGACCGTCAGCCTCAGAGCCACACCCACTTCTCCCCAGAGACATAAAATGAATGAACAGGTTGGACTGTGAAGCGGTGTTTCCAAGCTCCTGTAGCTTCTTTTTCCTGCCACCTTCCCTGGAGAGGCAAGGAAGCCACAGTCATGGTGCGCCCGAGCCTGATGGCGAAGAATACCGACATGCGCTGGCGCTTACCTTTGGTTTGCCTCCTCTGGGAGGTGGCCATGATCATCCTTTTTGGGATTTTCGTGCGCTTCAACCCGGAGGCTAACGTGGCTGATTGGGAGAAGGAGAAACAGCAAAGGAACATCTCCGATATTGAGAATGAATTCTACTTCAGATACCCCTGTGAGTATAATGATGCTAGGCAACGATCCAGCCTTGGGTTTATTTGGCACACCTTTTGGGTAGTGCTGTAACTGCAGAATTCTGAACGGCAGAAAATCATATTTGCACATGGAATCATCATGCTGCATAGACCTCCAGATCAATGTCATAATACGTAGCAGCATAATCAGTCTGTGTCTGTGCTTACTGGTTTTATAAAATTAGCTCTGGATTTCATGACTTTACAGGGAATTTCTTTGTTTGATTGGGCTGCACAACTTTTCCTGGGCTGCCTTTGATGGCATCCTGGACCATATTCCAAAATGTAGAGGCTGCAACCACAGCAAAGGTTTTAATTGGATTTCACTTTGCTTGCTTGTGCACTGAAGCCGGATCAGATATAACTAATAACATTTGTTTCCATCCATCTTTAAATGAAATAACTTTTTCTTTCTCCTGCCATGTTAAAAGCGACAATTTTGAAGGTTTTGGAGATGCCTCCAAGAGTTTGGGAAGAAATCTATCATCCTTAGAAGTGCTGTATTTCTACTAGAAATGAAAATGTGGATTGTTTCACTTACAATTTGGATTGTTTCACTGACTTCAAATGTCTAACACAACTTCCTTCTGTTTTATGTACGCATGCAATAGGTATTCCTTCACTATCTGTGTGAGACAAGCCTTTGCTTGGAGTTTTCTACCTTCCCTCATTTACTGAGTGAGGTTCTGAATGCCCCCTTAAAAGTCCTGATCTGAAAATTTCCTTGCTATCTGTGCTTAGGTAGGCTTAGTCTGGAGGCAATAATTTAAAAATCGAGATGCTCAAAGCAAAAATCAAATGCAGCCTTTCCCAAAGGATTCTTCACACAGAATAGGATTCTTAAGAGGTGATTGATGGTTGAACTGATTTTTATTGTTAAAAAAAAAAAACACCCTGCTTTTTCAGTGGGTGATCCCATTTCCACTGTGGATCAATTTGGAAATTGGACAGTGTTTCCCAATCTCAGCAACGTTATGGTAGCTGGAGAATTCTGGAGTTGAAGTCCACATATCTTAAAGTTGCTTAGATCGAGAAACACTGAAATAGGGAAAGGAAGGCTGAACAAAAAGCATATTTTTAAAGAGATAATAAGTAACACTGAATGTTTACGGAGTGCAGAGAAACTATTCCCTTTATTAGAATTCCAGGCAACCACTTTTATGAATCTTGACCAACTATCTCACATTCTAGCCTTGCAATTTGATTTTTTTTTTAAGGTGATCCTTTAGTCCTCTCCCTGCTGTTAAGCTGGAATGCTCTCTGCTTTTCCATTTCCAACACAAAGCTGTACTGGCATGACATTGGTTATCCCCATTTTCACTCCCGATCATATCTATGGAGAGTCTCCATCATCCAGGACATGCTTGTCCCAAAAGTGCTTTTCCAAACGGCAACTGGACTTTCTTTCTTTTTCTTGAAAACATTTTACTTCTCATCCAGTTCTGAAGAAGCTTCTTGGATGAGAAGCAAAGGGTTTCCAAGGGGGAAAAAAACCAAGAAAGTCCAGTTGCCTCTTTAGAGAAGCACTTTTGGGGTCCCTATCTTGCTTCTACCACCTCTCTTTTGAGCCACTGCCAGACCCCTGATTTCCCTGCAAATAACGGGTGACAAAGCTTAAACAATTTGAAATACCTTAAGAGATCCTTGGTGTGTGGGAAATGCGGGAAAAGACCCTGAATCTGGAGAAATGATTTCCCTTTATATCTGAGTCTTGCCTTGGTCCCGTATGTCACAATTCTCATTATAGCTACTTAAAACTCTGGGCAGGGCTTGCAGTCTTGCAGATGGATGCATGCACCTTGGGTTGGCTGAGCAAAATGTGATTGTTGTGCAGAACTGTTGTGTGGAAAGACATTGCCACTGGCACTTAACTAGGGAAGTGTCACTTGGATTTCACAAGCTAAAAGGGTTTAGAAATTCATGCTCTGAGCAGAGAATGCTTCTGGATGTTAAGTCAAATGAGAAGGTTGAACTTTTAGGCAGGGCTTTGGAACCAGAAGGCAAATGGCATTTTTCTAACAGATCACTGGATATTTTTAAGGAGAATATAGAACTCACCGTATTGCAGAGATAGTTAAGGATTGAACTTTGCACGTGATGGTGGTGAGGAAACAGGAGGTCCCAAATTAGGTAAAATGGGCCAGTATGCTGCAATGGTTAAGGCACCAATCTGGAAACTGGGAGACTGTGAGTTCTAGTCCTGCCATAGGCACGAAGCCTGATAGGTGACCTTGAGCAGTCCCTCTCTCTCAGCCCTAGGAAGAAGAAGGCATATCATAACTAAAAGCAGTAGACTCAGTGGCGGGATTCAGCCGGTTCACACCAGTTCAACAGAACCAGTAGCTAATTTTTTTGTTGCCCAGGCCCAGAACGGACTTCTGGAAGCAGCATCCACACAGAGAATCAGTTGTTCACATATTTGAATCCCACCACTGAGTAGACGGATAGTGAAAACAATTTATCAGTAGAATGTCTTGGCTTCAGAGGTTGGGGGTGCTCCATCGTTGGAGGTTTTTAAGAAGAGATTGGACAGTCATTTGTCTTAAGTGATATAAAGTCTCCTGCTTGAGCAGGGGGTTGGACTAGATCTCCAACATCCCTTCCAACTCTGTTATTCGGTTACTCCTTCAGTTACTGGTATTGCTTAAAATTGATTTATGGAATAATTAGCCTTCCTGGTAATGAACTTCAAACATCCTGTCGGTCTACCAAAGAATAGCAATTCTCATGCTTGCTGGGAATTATGGGGCCTTTGGTTTGGCTTTTCTTTTGCTGGGGGTAAGTATTGACATAAAATGCTTTACCCACAAAATGCTATCTCAGGAGCTGTTTCTCATTTCGCAATCTTCATGAAGTCTGGTTCTTCGTTATTAACCAAGTTGCAGTCTTAAAGCCCTTAGAGGAAATTGCCTGCTTCCCACTTAGATTTCATAAACAGAACACTTCACTCCATTAAGCACAGGGTTTTGATCAGAATCGGCTGGTTCCATCAGTCCCTGGAGAGTTTTAAGCTGCCCAGGTCCACAGTCATCGTCATCCTGGATTAAGCCAAGCAAGGGTTTAATCATTAAACTTCTTTCAGAGAGCAGCAATGGCGTTTCAGTCTAAATCCTCTTCTTTCTTCATGAGTCCACATATAAATATCAGCTTCTGGGTTAGGATGATGTATTTACTGTGCCAAATCAGAGGACACAGAGCTCTGTGCAAGCTTTTGAGTTCAGTAGAATGCTCTGTCAGGTAAGAAGGAAGGAAGGAAGGAAGGAACTATCTACCTAAATAGATCATTCTTCCTCTTCTACCTACTGTAGGTAGATAGAAGGAAGGAAGGAAGGAAGGAAGGAAGGAAGGAACTATCTACCCAGATAGATCATTCTTCCTCTTCTACCTACTGTAGGTAGATAGAAGGAAGGAAGGAAGGAAGGAAGGAAGGAAGGAAGGAAGGAAGGAAGGAAGGAAGGAAGGAAGGTTAAATATCTAATTATTCACCCAGGATTTTCTATCCTTAATCCAACAGTTGCTCTATCCTTAATCCAAACAAATTTCTTTGATACCCCCAAATGAGAAAGAGAGATCAATGAAAGTTCACATATATTCTACTCTGACAAATATTTAAAATGTGGTGGTGGTGATAATCCAGAACCTGGTGGCAGTAGGAAGGAGAAATGTCAACAGAATACCAGAGTTGGAAGGGACCTTGGAGGTCATCTAGTCCAACCCCCTGCTCAGGCAGGAAACCCGATACCATTTCGGACAAATGGCTGTCCAGTCTCTTCTTAAAAACTTCCAGTGTTGGCGCGTTCACCGCGTCTGGAGGCAGGTTGTTCCACTGGTTAATTGTTCTAACTGTCAGGAAGTTTCTCCTTAGTTCCAGGTTGCTTCTCTCTTTGGTTAGTTTCCATCCGTGGCTTCTTGTCCTGCCTTCAGGCGCTTTAGAGAAGAGCTTGACTCCCTTTTCTTTGTGGCAGCCCCTGAGATACTGGAAGACTGCTATCATGTCACCCCTCGTCCTTCTCTTCGTTAGACTTTCATCTTTCATGAAGTGGGGTGCTGTGGAAGTTGCAGGCCTCCAGAGAGAAGTTGGTATAGGGTTAAGGACAATAATGGCATTGGAATTTCTGTCACTAAGCGATGCGGTTTTAAAGCTTGACCTCAAGTGACCACATCACCTAACAGTGACAATCCTGGCAGTCTCAGTTGCAGTCATTAACTGAATCCCACTGGTTGTTAAGTGAGGACCCGCCATGATCCAAGGCATTCCCAGTTTGGTCCCTCCCATCCCTGAACCTTGGTAAGGTAAGGGACTACTTCTTCTTTAACTCCTTCCATCCACCTCTCTCAAGTTCCTCTGTTTTTCTATCTGATTGTCGGGATGCTTAAAAATTTCATTCAAATTTCCTTGCTGATGCAAGCTTCCTGACTTGACAAAACATGCTACAGCTACTCCTCCAATTTTTTGTGTGACACGTCTGCCTTCTGCAACCTTCCTGGCTGTCCACACTTCACAGTCTGAAGAAACACAACAGGAATGAAAAATCTCCTTCCTGGTAAGATTGCAAAGAAGGAAGTGGAGCCGGAAAAGTTGCAGAGTGCCGGAGGGATGATTGTGCGATGAAATAAATAAACATTCACACCCATTCTTCGGCGATTTCATAACTAAAGTAAGCTGCAAAAATACGTTGCCCGTCTGCAAATTTCTCCCCAAATGTTCTTTTGGACTGTGAAAAAAAGATCTGTGAAATTTAATCTAACAGTTTAAAAAAAAACATAAAATAAAGCCAGAACAGAACAAACTGTAGAAACGAAACTAATTTTATCCTATTGTTTTCATGAAACCTGTTGCAAAGGGTGAGTTTTTAACCTCCTGCAGTGAAAATATTTCTCAAATCTATCAGCTTGGAATGGAGCGATGCATGTATGTGTAGGTAGGGGAAGAGGTAGATTCCTAAGCCAGGAAGAAACACAACACCCATCTTCAATTTGCTGCCTTGCCTTCGGCATCTCCTGGACCACCAATAATTGCCAAGTTTCATTTTACAGCACTGGGGCAGATTCCTATCTTGAGGATACGATGAGCAGCAAAGTTGGTTAAAGATCTATGATCTTTGTTGTTTGTTCTGGAGACAAAATATCTCCCCACCCCACTGCCTGGGGTATAGGATGAAAGTTCTATTTATCCTACAGGTAGAGAAAATTCCAGCAGATCACTCTTGGGTTTTGAAGTTTTTGACCCCAAAAATGGTGGCAACAGCATTTTGTTTTCATTAGAGGTTAGGCCAATATTAATTGTGTTCATGCAATACATTTACTCCGAGTTACCAAATTCACTCTTTTTGTGGGATGCCACAATGCATTAAGCCATAAACTAATCAAAGGGGCTGAATTGACACAACCTGCTAAACCACACAAATAATAAGTAAGTTTAACATTAAACTAAGCTTTAGTATGTTGTGTGAATGACTCTGCTAGAGAACTGCACTTGGCCTGGTTAAACCTATTGTGTGAACATAACTTCTATCTTCCTTCCAAATTCGAGGCAACTGATTTGGAACTGATAACGCATGTTGAATGAAAGAAAGGGAAAGGGAAGACAATTCAAAGATCAGCCAATAAAAGTCATGACTGACCAGCAACTGGATTCAGATCTATGTGCAACCAATGTTACCCTTTGAGGAATCCTGGCTTGTCAAAAGTTAGTTGTGCACTATATTCTAGTCATTGTATCAACCAGCATGGAATGCTGGGAGACAGTCTTCTGTAGACGCATTTTCCTATTAATTCAAAATTAATTGTATTAATAAGAGAAAACACTTTACCTTTGTACTCAGGCAGTGTTGTTCAGAATCTTTCAGCTTTTAAGGAACTTTGTTCATACGGCTTTATCTCTCAGAATATGCTCGAAGCCTCCATTACAGAATATCTGTATTGTAGACCGTGCTATGATGGATCCAAGGGAAGATGCTTATGGTATGTACTGGCAAAAACTGCAGATTCTGGATCAGAGTTTCTCAAAGTTGACAACTTTAAGATGTGGGAAGTTCAACTCCCACAGTTCCCCATCAACACACTGGCTGGAGAATTCTGGGAGTTGAAGTCCATACATCTTAAAATTGCCAAGGTTGAGAAATACTCTTGTAGACCATAAGTGAAGGAACCGTCATGTATAAATTAGTGGTCAGCATTGAGTTAGGTGGTCGCTAGGCATGCAGATAAGTGTGGAATGAGAGTGAAAGTCCATGTAATGAAGCCTCTTTCTTTATTTCAGCTTTCCAAGATGTCCATGTGATGATTTTCGTGGGCTTTGGCTTCCTCATGACCTTCCTTCAACGCTATGGCTTTGGCGGTGTTGGCTTCAACTTTCTCCTCGCTGCCTTTGGGATCCAGTGGGCTCTCCTGATGCAGGGCTGGCTCCATACCTTTCAGCATGGGAAGATACTCATTGGAGTGGAAAGGTACGATGGCATGCTTGGACATACAAAGAAAGAGTTTCTGGGTAGTAGGATACATGACGAGCATGAAACTATAACGAAGGTAGATTAAATTTGTGGCTTAGGAATGCAAACATGTGCATTAGTGGGGCCGTGGTGGTGTAGTGGTTGGAATGCAGTACTGCAGGTTATTTCTGCTGACTGCCGACTGCCAGCAGTTTGGCAGTTCGAGTCTCACTGGCTCAAGGTTGACTCTGCCTTCCATCCTTCTGAGGTTGGTAAAATGAGGACCCAGTTGTTAGGGGCAATATGCTGACTTAGAGAGGGCTATAAAGCACTGTGAAGTGGTATATAAGTCTAAGTGCTAATGCTGTTGATGTAGTTTGAGCTCAGCTCAGAATATAGGTATTGGGGCCTGCAAGCCCATGCTGCCCTACCCTACTACAAGCTAAGACCATTATTGTAAATTTTGCACTTTGGATGATGGAAAACGTCCATCAGATCAAAGCTTCTGGGCGGCCCTCTTTGACAAATTGGAAGAGTACTATTAGATTCCTTGTCAGTCATCCCAAAGCTAAACAAATTAATTTCTTCCATCCTTATTGTTCTGATTTGACCCTTTCCCAATTTGCCAGAATACATTTTAGCAAAGAAAAGAATAGATTTGGGACTTTCCATGATTTAGAAATTCACCGTCTCTTGTTGCAACCTAATTGGATGATCCAAAAGTCTAGGTTAGGGACAGATCACAGTGGACAAAATCTACCTATGTCGTCCCCAAGGGTCAACCATGACTCCAAGGGCATATAATCAAACTTTATGTGTCATTTTTGTAGTCATGTCTCACTGCTGGTTCATGTGATCAGCTACAATTCCAAGATGCTCATTGTTGTGTTGCTTCAGTAGCCTTCTTTGACTCAATTATCTCTTCCTTCTCCTCTCAGCCTGATTAATGCAGATTTCTGCGTGGGTTCTGTTTGTATCGCCTTCGGTGCCATTTTGGGCAAAGTCAGTCCCGTCCAGCTCCTCATTATGACACTGTTTCAAGTGACCCTCTTCTCCGTCAATGAATATATCCTGCTTGATCTGCTCCATGTAAGGTTCTTCACATTCAGAAATGCTTCCCTGTCTTAATATCGATGTGACAAAGTTGCCTTGCGTATTTGGTTATCATTTACCATCCCGAATAACTCTGTGCAGATGCAAGACAAAGAGGACAATGGGTTTACTATATGCCTTACAATACAGTCAGAGTGTGTCTTACTGTGGTGGAATGTAAACTGGATTCCCAGGAGGGAGGGGCTGCAATCCAGAGAGCAAAGAGGCAGTGAAGTTCGGAAAGTTCGGTCAGAAGGAAGAGATTTAAAACAGCTCCTCCCCAGAGAGTCTCACTTATAGGTCTATAGGTGAAGAACAATAAAGGAAGCTACAATAAAGGAAGTAACTCCATCTATTGTTCTTGGTTCTTGGGAACTGACACAAACTTCCTTCAACTCAAGGCCTACTCTAAGCTTTGCATGGCTGGGCGTGAGAGACATTTCTTTAAGCAAACTTCCTGATATCAGATCAGTCTATTGCCAGAACAAGAGATGGGTGAAGCCAATCCTCCTGCCTCAGAGAGATCATCTTCTAGCTTATTATAACACGCAGCCAGGAGGAAGAAACTCAAACATTTGAACTCCAATTTTGGCACGTCTTGCATTTGATGCACGCAGTCACTTGAAATCTTTTTGTAATGAATGCACTACGTGGCTTTTGTAAGGGGTGAAACTTTGATAGAGGTTTTGTGCCCTTTGAGGTCTGTTCTTGCAATTGAGAAATACACATGAAGTAGGCTCCAAAAGTAGAGAAATACCGTGGTCTAACGGGGGGAAAAGAAATTTGTAATTTCTAAGGGGCAAAATGGGTGCTTTCAATTCCTGCAAGACCGCTCCTTCTTTTGCTTCCTAATAATCTCCAACATTAGCCTGTCTGCTCGTGATCCTTGATGGCTGCAGAAATGGGGTCTAAGTGTCAATGTGGCTTACTAGCTACCTTTTTTTACACCCTTGCTATACCATATCTTTCCCCAAATAGGTGCTTTCTAGATGCATTGGTTAACTATTTCCAGAATCTCTTACCAGCATATTTAAGAAAGCAGGTTGGAATTTTGCAGTCCAAATGTATCTAGAGGTCTCCAGATTGTGGAGATTAATTTAATTTAATTAATCTCTTGCTCAAAACCCCTGCAGAACTTCCCAGGTATCCAATGAAAAAACTCACAACTATATATGCACCAGAAAAGTATTTGCTAAGACTTCAGATTTTCTGCAGCTTTAAGAAGGGTGGCAAAAAAAAGAGGCAGGGCTTTCTTGGTGATGGCCCCTCTGCTAAGAGAAGCTTGCCTGGTTTCCACCATGTTACTTTATCAGTTGTCTTGGATGAAGGTTGCTCTTTCAGGCTCCTAAAACCTCAAGAGCTGTTGTTTTGTTTGCTGCATTTCACATTTCATTCTGATAGACCTTTTTTTGTGTTGCGTATTTTCTATGTTTGAGGGAACCGATGGAGCTGTTGTGTTCTTTCACTTGGGTTTGTTTTGATTGCAACATTCTTGTATTTTATTATCACTAGATGATCAGTTATCTTGCTTAATGCCCAGAGCAGAGGGAAATAACATGTTGCTGGTCAAGGTAGCGCTTAATGGGAGACCATTATATTACATCCCCCCCCCAAAAAATACCCAATATGTATAAGGGAGGGAGCAGGGCCCATTGCTGGTTTCTTACGCAGGAGCCATAAGATGCAGGACTCAACTCTTGTGGGCTTGGAATGTGGTTGCACAAGTAGGGCACACTTTGATTGACTGTACATAAAAGCCCCTGAGAGGAACAGATTAACCATCAGATAAGGGGATTGAATGAGATTGTGGCTTGAGGGTCTGAATGGAAAAGCAGACTTAAAATAATATTACCAGCCTTGAGGAATGCAGGGGAAACTCCTTGACTTCAGCTCAACGTGTTCTTTTTGCAAGCAAAGGAGCATCTTGTTTGCTAAATTTATACAGTTCATTCTCTACTGTGAAGGGACGACGAGATTGAACAAATATGACATCCAAAACTATTCTTCCACTCATCCTAAAACCAGAGATAAGAGTTGTATCCTCTGAAGGGCAAAGTAAATAGAGCTCCGTTCTTGGAAGTAGCAATCGCATGTGCTTTTTTTTTTCAATGTTTCATTTTTGTGTTTGTTGGAAAATACATTTTTTTTATCTCATTGTTCAGCCAGAAGGACTCCCAAGGTATCTTTCCGATAAGATAGTCCTTGCCTGCTGGCTCTGTGGGTTGTGTAACTAAGCACAATGAAAAGTCTGCTACTTCTTTGTCAAGACTCCAGTTTCTTGCATTCTCAATATGGGTAGCAGTGATGGCAGTTGTAGTGCAGCCCATTTCCTGGGCACAGGTAAAGAAATGCCTAAGTTAGAGATATCGTCTGGCTGAAGAGTCAGAAGTCCATGTCTATGGAGATTCTCAACCATCTAGATCAGGGGTAGTCAACCGTGGCTCTTTTATGACTCGTGGACTTCAACTCCCAGAATTCCTGAGCCAGCTGTGCTGGCTCAGGAATTCTGGGAGTTGAAGTCCACGAATCATAAAAGAGCCAAGGTTGACTACCCCTGATTTAGGTCATGGTTTTCCCTAAGGCGCTTTCTTGTTGTTGTTTTTCCCCCTGAAAACATTTCACTTCTCATCCAAGAAGCTTCTTCAGTTCTGAACTTCACTGAAGGAGCTTCTTCTTTTTTTTATGAAGAAATTTTATTGGTTTTTCCATTTTTACATAAAAGTGCTTGAGAAACAACGTGGTGATTGGGCTATCAATTATCCTAAAACAAAATCATACATATAATCACACAAATTAATTCCTTAGAAGTTCCCTCTGTTTCCCACATACTGTTTTACCAATTAAAATAATTACATTTGTGGAAAAAAAGCTCAATCAATCCAATCAATCATCAATCACATTTCAATTATAAGAATCCAAATCCTGTTGTTAAGCTTTACTATTTTGGAAATTACCATATTCCAATTAAGCTTATATTAGCACTTTGGGCATCCCTCGTTTCTCTTTTTTCCCTATCATAATGATTCTATCTAAAGTAAATATATTATCCCAAACAAAAACATCCTTACATATTTTTTATATATAACCTATTGCTTAAACTAATACATCATTTATTAATACTATTACTTCTCTTATCACAAATACCTCACTGAAGGAGCTTCTTGAAGGAGAAGCAAACTGTTTTCAAAGAAAAACAACCACAACTAAAAATCCAGTTGCCTTTTGAAAAACACCTGTGGGACATCCAGAAGTAGAATTTTCAGATGCCCAAAGGAACAAATGTTCTATTTAGTTTGTTAAGCAACTGAGTTCAAGTTTCAATTTGTGATCTACTGATTCTCTGTAGAATAAACCAACTACTTCTGGGTAGGCTTCAAACTCTTTATTTATCGCCGCAGGTGAAAGATGCTGGTGGATCCATGACAATTCATACGTTTGGTGCTTACTTTGGCCTAACGGTGACCTCTATTTTGTACCGGCCCAACCTGGAGCAGACCAAAGAAAAGCAGGAATCTGTTTACCATTCAGACCTTTTTGCCATGATTGGTGAGTTGTGGTTCCTTCTCTTTGTTAGACAGGAGAACCCGCACTTTCTGAAAAAGTGGTCAGGATTCATGAAAAGAGGCCCAGGCTATTGGCGAAAAGACCCGTCCTTCCTTCTACCTTTATTTCTGTTCAAGGTAGCCCAAGTGAGGCATTTAAAGCAAAAAACGTTGTGAAGGTATTGTGGACTTTGAGCCTTTAATCCACAAAGCACAAAGCTGTATGTTCTTCGCATCTCGGAAAGCAGGAGAAGATATGCTTGGCATGTCATTGTTTTGGAAATCTGGAAACATTCTTTTGATCCTGGTGATCAAACTGAAAGGAATGTAGAAGCTTCTTGACCAGTTCTTTCTAAACTACCCATTTACGGAGGCGCAAACATCTCATTAAAATTACGGCGGGGAGCTTAATTTCCTGGTTTTGCTATAACAAGCTCGAGGTCCTATTTTGGATGTTTTTTAAAAGGCACGCAGATGTATACCCATAACTATTTCTGTACAAGAAACCAGTAAATATGCTATGATACAGATCAATATTAGTCACCGATTAGTAAGTTTTTTTTTCCTGCCCTGTCTCCAGTTGGGCTAGAGCAGGGGTCTCCAACCTTGGCAACTTTACGACTTGTAGACTTCAACTCCCAGAATTCCTCAGCCAGCATGGGCTAGAGCAGTGATGGCGAACCTTTTAGAGACCGAGTGCCCTAAAACTGGCCCCGCCCCTGATCCACCCCCTGCTCCGCCCCTGCTCCGCTCCCACCCCACCTGCCCGCAGGGCCACTCACTGCCTCCAGGGCCCACCGCAGATCGCCCAGGCAGCCCAGCAGCGCCATGGCAGCCACCCCCTCTGCCCGCGTCCCACAGCATCAACTGAGTCTTGTCTACACTGCCTGGCTGCCATGTCCTTGGCTGCACTGCTCCATGTAGGCCACGCTCAGGGGCGACTTTCCTCCAGGGGGGCTGCTGGTGAGGAGGGGGTCATGGGGAGAGGCGAGGCTGGGGCAACGGCACGTGTGCCCACAGAGAGGGCTCCGAGTGCCGCCTCTGGCACGCGTGCCATAGGTTCGCCACCACTGGGCTAGAGAGTTGTCAGGCGCTTAGGTACACCCTTCATATTTTATCCAAGAGAGTGAGCTGTCTGCAATACCTGGTGTGTCCTTATAGAAAGCCACTTTTTAACTACCATTGCAGGCACCTTGTTTCTGTGGATGTACTGGCCCAGTTTTAACTCCGCCATTTCCAATCACGGGGACGCACAGCACCGGGCGGCCATCAACACCTACTGTTCACTTGCTGCGTGTGTCCTGACTTCGGTGGCTTTTTCCAGTCTCTTGCAAAAGAAGGGAAAGTTGGACATGGTGAGTAAAGTCAGACAAGATGTTATGGTTTTCGCTTGTCTTTGACGAAGTTTCATGGAATCCCTTACTACAAATGTGTGTGTGGTGGAGGGGGGGCTGCTTGTGTGTCTACTTGCCTAGCTGCTTGCCTGCCAATCAATGAATCAATCATTAAAAATGGTGTCAAGGCTTTCTGTTATCTTGTACAAAGTTTCTTTTTTTTTCTTTTTCTTTTAATGAATATTGTGTTGATTTTTAACTATGACAATCTCCAGCGCCTGGTGTACAGCGTGTTGTCTTGGTTTATATTTTTACAAGAAAAAAAGGGCAATAGTAATGAATTAATCAATAATGATTAAATTTGATAATGCCATAATTATAATATTAATTAATGATATATTTCTTTGACCTTCCCTTCTCCCATTTGTATTCTCCTTCTTCAACCTTAGCCAAAATATAATTCTTAATATTTTCAATATATAAATGATTAGATATAGGCATTGTTTATATTTATACAAATAATAATAATCTCTCTATATAACATTTTTACCTTGAACAAAGTTTCATGGAACCCCCACCACAAGGGTGTGTGTATCTTTTCTTTCTTTCTTTCTTTCTTTCTTTCTTTCTTTCTTTCTTTCTTTCTTTCTTTCTTTCTTTCTTTCTTTCTTTCTTTTTTCTTCTTTCTTTCTTTCTTTCTTTCTTCCTGCCTTCCTTCCTTCCTTCCTTCCTTCCTTCCTTCCTTTCTTTCTTTCCCTTTCCCTTCCTTCCTTCCTTCCTTCCTTCCTTCTCTTTCTCTCTTTCTTTCTCTCTCTCTCTCTCTTTCTCTCTTTCTTTCTTTCTCCCCCCCTCCCTCCCTCCCTCCTTCCTTCTCCTTTCTTCTCCTTCCCCCTTCCTCCTTCCTCCTCCACAGTAGGTCAGAAAACCCATTGTGCTAATCATAGTAAAATTGCAGTTTAAAAGCCTGCTGCACAGTATCGAAGAATGTCTGTTAGATGCGAACCTAACCCTTGAGCAAAAATGAATAAATAAAGCAGAAAAGCAGGAATTAAAAGAGCTGTGTCTCCCACAGGTCCATATTCAAAATGCCACCCTGGCCGGAGGTGTGGCTGTAGGAACTGCTGCTGAAATGATGCTGACCCCATACGGTGCCCTCATTGTGGGCTTCATCTGTGGCATCGTGACGACCACTGGATACGTCTACATCACAGTAAGAGCCCTTCTGAATGCAACAAAAGCTTTCCCCAGCCTTGATGGCACGACCAAACAGTGAAAAAGTGGAGATGTTACTTCTTTACATTGCAATATGTTGTAGCTGTTTCCTCTTTGTAATGCTCATGTTTTGTCCTTCCTTCCTCTCTTCTAGCCTTTCCTGGATGCTAAGCTCCATATCCAAGACACCTGCGGTGTCCACAACCTTCACGGAATGCCAGGTTTAATTGGAGGCATTGTGGGGGCCGTCACTGCTGCTGCGGCTACAGAAGGAGTCTACGGAAAGAAAGGGTGAGGTGCTTTGGGACGTCTGTGTAGGGCGTCACACTTTTTGATTTGGTTCCCCTTTCTTTGGAGAGGAAGAAAGAACTGCGGAAGACAGAATCATGGGTTGCCTGGCTGATATGTTGACTAAGCCTCAGGAGCTTTTGCTTTGATCTGCAGGTGCATTTGCACTCATTTATGAGAACTTTGCAAGTCGTTGAACTTTGAAATTACAGGTAGGGCTGGATTGCAAGCAGCCCAGGTTCGAATCTCAGAAGGGTATGGCTGGCTGATGAGAGCTAAGTAGCTCAAAATAGCTATACCAGTCTCCCTTTAACTCTTTGTTAGCAACCCAAATTTAACACGGTTAACTCAGTCTTCCATCTTTCCGAGGTTGATAAAATGAGGATCCAGATTGTTGGGGGCAAGATGCTGACTCTGTAAACCGCTTGGAGAGGGCTGTAAAGCACTGTGAAGCGGTATATAAGTCTAAGTGCTATTGCTATTGCTATTGAGGGAAAGCAAGACAAATGGCGATGAACCAAAAAATAACTTGGGACTACAACTGTCCTTCCCTTTTCCACTTCACTTCATTCTCACAGGCTCACCAACATGTTTGACTTCACCGGAGAATACCAGGATCGAACGCCTAGCATTCAAGGGGGATTCCAAGCGGCTGGCATTGCAGTATCACTAGCTATGGCTCTGGTGGGAGGAGCTATTGTAGGTAAGTGGAAGGTCATCACAGAGAGATCTAAGGTGAAATGTCCTGACAGTGAGAACAATTAACCAGTGGATGGGCTTTTCTTCTGGAAGTTGTGGTGTTCCAACACTGGAAATTTTTCAAGAAGAGATTGGACAACCATTAGTCTGAAATGGTCAGACCATTCTCTCCTAAGGATGGACTTCCAGACCGCGCCCCCCCGCCGCAGGGAGACGGAACCGCCTAGATGGTTCCGTCCCAGGCGACTGATGGACCCAGAGAGGTTCCTGACGGAGCTTGGGCCTTATCCGGAGGATCTGGTCCATGACTCGGTGGAAAATCAGACGGCGGCTTGGGAGTCAACTGCCGCC